CTTGCGAACGTGGCGTATAGCATCTTCCATTCACAGACAGGATAAGCTGCAGTAGCAATCCCCGCATCCTGCGCCGAAGTGATTGGCAAGAGGTTACATGACCTCCGTTTACGGAAAGCTAATATTAGTATACACAATGAAAATCAAGGGTAGGTCGTAATAAACTATCTGCGTCCGATAATTCCGCTAAGTAAGCTGTTAACATCTGTGTTGAAACCCACTACATGTTCTGAGAATTTCAAGCGTACAAGTATGACGGGAAAGTGGTCACTCTTGGTCCTATTGTCGTTTTTGCCGGTTTAGGATAGAGCTAGGTCATTTACGCAGGGGTGCTTTTGACTATCCGATATTCTGTGTAGTACTTGGGGTTTGCAAAGAGATACTCGAAACTGGAGTAATGTCTAAACTAGTTGTAAGTTAGGTATGTTCATCCCTGTTAGACAACTTGTAGATCTGAATGCATCTTTAATTATGATGTGGTTTCACGGATGGCCAATCATTAGGCCAGATAGTGTGCTTTGGCTGGAACCGAGGAAATTTTCATGTATGCAAGCGGTAAATTGCATATTACGTAGTCACTCTAGTTGCACCTCGTCTGGGTGTTATTATGTCCTTAATAGCTGTCTTATATCAACACGTCGAGTATAGTCATGGGTTAAATTCGTGGCTCAGGTATATTAAAACGTGCGTTGTAGATCTGGGCCAGGAGTGGGTCTGCTGAACCTCAGGCTCGGGCTGCGTACACTCTTAACGGTAAGTGCCAATAGGTAATTTAGGTTTATATTAAATGTGTCGTTGAACCCCTACCGACATCGGCAGATATCACCTCTCAAGTGATATTATCTTGGCTAATGGTGTCAACGGCTACCTAATACACCACAACTCCTATGTATGACAAAATAGAAAGTATCAGCACCGTGATGCCCGTTAAATATATACTTAGGCTCCTACTAAACGTAGGGTATATAACTATAGGTAGCAAAAATGTCTCAATTATTATCAGTCAGAAAGGTGGGAATCAACAGAGTTTACATTAAAATGTTTTGGTAGTTAGTGTTGAGGAAACTCATTGCCGCCTGTCTGTAGTT